GGCTAGGTGACTAGCATAAGGACCAGGCTAGATGTCTAGCATAAGAACCAGACTAGGTGTCTATCATGTCAATATGTGAGGTGCATATTGCATATAATATATATGTATATATATGTATCAGAAAGAGAGTTAGTAGCCGTACCGCAACTCCTTTAAAAGAAACCTATGAGCTAGAAATAAATTCCTTCCTTTCTTTACATCCCAGAAAGGTCCAAGAGCTCGGGATAAACGCGTTTAAAAGACCCGGGACCTTACTTTCAGTAAACTTGAAAGGCCCAAGAGTTGGAATTCAACACGTTCACACAAAATATATGACCAGTCAAACGAAACTAGATAAACCACGTCCGTAGAGTTTCAGAGTTATTTTCATAAATGTTTTGAGTGGTACGTGGAGGTTCATTATCCTCGCTACATTACCACACAGACCAATATAATGATCATTATGAAACAGCAGTTTTTGTCCGTGAAAATAAATCACACCACAACATTCTAAAGAGCTATAATTAAAAAGTTTATATATGCTTAATTTTCTGAGATATACAGTAAAAATTTCTCCAAAATAGTTTAAGGGAATTACAAATATTTGGTGTAGAATTTTTTTTTTTAAATTGGTAAATTAGTATCTACAAAGCCTATTAGACATCCTTTTAAATAGGTAAGAAACACCGGCATTGAAAGTTTGAAACCGATATTAACAAGCATTCTCGAGTTATCGCTCGGACGTTGCAATACTGTTTTTATCCTGAAAATTGGTAAATGGGAACAGCTCATTAACATTGCAAATCTTTATCTAAGTACGATACATCAGTGTTCAAAGTTTGAAGCTTATCTGTTGATTGTTCTCAAGTTATTGCTCGGAAATCTTGAAGGAAGATTAATGTATAATTTTGTTGTTGTTATGGTAAGTAAAAACGTATGTAAAATTTATGACATTGTACTGCACAACGATTCGCTCTCCAGGAACCTTGACGAACCCAGACAAACATTACAAGAACCTAGAGGGGTATATGTGAGATGTAAGAGCATAAGCACTGCTGTTGGTCTACTGGCCCACTTTATTGTTGGTAGTAGTAGTAGTAGTAGTAGTAGTAGTAGTAGTAGTAATAGTGGTAGTAGTAGTAGTAGTAGTAGTAGTAGTAGTAGTAATAGTAGTAGTAGTAGTAGTAGTAGTAGTAGTAGTAATAGTAGTAGTAGTAGTAGTAGTAGTAATAGTAGTAGTAGTAGTAGTAGCAATATTAGTAGTAGTAGTAGTAGTGGTAGTAGTAGTAGTAGTAGCAATAGTAGTAGTAGTAGTAGTGGTAGTAGTAGTAGTAGTAGCAATAGTAGTAGTAGTAGTAGTAGTAGTAGTAGTAGTAGCAATAGTAGTAGTAGTAGTAGTGGTAGTAGTAGTAGTAGTAGTAGTAGTAGTAGGAGTAGTAGTAGTAATAGTAGTAGTAGTAGTAGTAGTAGTATTAGTAGTAGTAGTAGTAGTAGTAGTAGTAGTAGTAGTGGTAGTAGTAGGAGTAACAACAACAACTACTGGTAGCTATATGATGCCGAGATTTAATACTTCAGAGTTGACGAAGTTAACTTTATTCTGTTCAATAGTGTCAGAAATATATTTTGTCGGTGTTTGGAGTGCAGAACTCGACGCACTGTACACCTGCCGTAACTAACGCTCCTTGTAGTGGACGCGATGTCTATAGGACGAAAAAAATAAGGAATGATATTTTTGTGTGAGTGAATGAAAATATATGAGGATTTTCATGTACACATACGATATACATATAAATATATGAGGATTTTCATGTACACATACGGTATACATATATACACAAATATGTATATTAACAGTGACATACTATAATGTTACACAAATTGGTATAAGTGTACAAACGTACACATATACTGTATGTGGATATATATTTTATGTACACAAACACACATATTGTTTGTGTACTTTATACAGAAACAAACTTCAGTAGTATATTCACTAACCAGGTATACGTTCTCCCTCCCTCAATTTACCTTACTTCTTTCCCTTGTCTCCGCTTCACACCCTCCCTATCCTCGTTCCTTTTCTACACACTCTCCCTTCCCTTGTGCCTTTGCTTTACATCTTTCCTCCCTGTGCCCTTTACTACATACCCTTCACCCATCAATCCCACCACCTACTTTACATCCTTCATTCCATCTTATCCCTGTACTGTCGCTGATTGCACTTCATTCTCCCTTCACCCGTTTTACACCCTCTCTTCCCGTGCCACCGTTGCACACTCTCCCACTATGCCGCCACTGCATGTCTCTACACGTTTCCCCCCGCTGTACCGCCTTAACCCATCAGACCGTACCCGAATGGCTGGGCCAATGCTCCTGGGCGTAACATGCAACTCGAATATCGACTCTCCATCTTCAAGGCGCAGGAGAAGGACTCAGGTGCCTACGCCTGCGTCACACCCTTAGGGCACAAACACATCGTCAAGCTTGAGATTAAAGGTGAGTGGAATTCCTAGCATGATGTTCCAGTTTCTTGGTTTAGGGTGAGAAGAGTGCCAGGTGTGTGATGTCCAAGTTGAGTGGTTAAGGGTGAGCGGAATTCTTGATGTGACTCGAAATTTGATGGAAAGTGGACTGAAAGATTGCTAATCATGGCTGGCCTTCCTGTGCTGTTCCATTTTCTCGTGCTGAATGGGTGATGCATTTTCCGAGTCATCTTAATCTTTTACTGAACGAATGGTGGTAATTTTGCTAAATGAGAGTTCAAAGTTATGTTGATCAAAGCTTGAGGAAAAGGTACTGAATAGAAAAGGTCAGTGAAAAGTGTTCATGACCTGTGCTGCGAACTTGTTAGTACACTGCTTAAGATAGATGCTAACTGCAGGAGAGAAGCGGTGTCTCAGAGTGATGTGGCAAAGTAGACTTAGGAATAATCTTTTTCTCCAGTCACTCCAGGAAGAAATCTGTTGACTGTGAGCCTAAAGTAGAAGGCTAAGATACTCTCAGTATAAAACATCGAAATTATCGTGTATAAAATAAGTATGTAGTACTAGGATATTTACTGAGGAAACCTTTCGGTCGTGTCACTTTCATCAGTCCAATAGAGATGAGTTTCAACAGGGTATGGGAGTCAAGAGTGGGTGGCGTCAGAGGGAGAGTACGCAACCCAGACATGAACTCAACGTAGGCACCAAGATCTACCTTTTACAAGATTTCGGATTTCAAATTTTTATTACCCAGGGATTTATCACCGGACTATCACGGAACACTTCACCATCATCTCTCAGTGCTACTTGAAATCCCTTAGAGACCAGGCTAAAGATGATGTCATCATAGTGAATTCAATGGACAAAGGAGGATAGGTAGTCATTTGAAACAGAGTAGATAATTGGCTCGACGACTCAGACACATCTTAAAGTACAGGAACTCTCTCAACACTTCTATACGAAGTCCGGCCAGATTTTTAAATACATCATATAGGGTAAGAAGTTGCTCTACTTAATACCCATTAGCCTCAGACCAGTGAACACGCACAGATTACTAAAGAAATATTAACCAGGTATTTCTCTGAGGCTTAATGCATCGAGTATCTGTAGCGCTCCACGTGAATTGCTAGCACGATAGCCAAACGTTTATATAAACTCGGCACGATTAATCAACCAGACCTTCAGCATTCGGTAACCTCATCAACGTCGTGCGTGACATTAACATCAGAGACAAGAAGCTTTCTTGTTTTAATCTAACATCTTCCCACTGCACAAGCCATCGTTCTGCTGAGCCGTAAGGTCACTGACAGCGTAGACCTCCTGTTACTAACCACGGATTTCTTAGACCTAACTGAGTTGTCAACTTCAATTGTTTCACCTTCGGCGACTCCATCTATTGGCAGTGTTTTGAAGTGGCCTTATGTTAACAAATCGATACAGAGATCATCTTGGGAATGTGCGATTTAAAATCGATCAATCCGAGGGATGTAACATGGCTGTGTCATGAGAACATTGTGTTGGTCATTTTACCCAGACAGTTCCATGCGACTACTCTGTTTGCCAAGCACGACTCCAAGGAATATTCCATTAAGTTTATTGTATAGGAGGAACAGATAGCCAATAAAAAATCATTCTATGTATAATTTATTACACCAAGTCACAAGAACCAATAAGTTCAGGCAGGCTTTCCTTCGCACTTACCAGTAACTACAGAAGGAGAGCGCTATGGATCATTCACACATTAAGCAGGAACGCTCACCTGGGAGATTTATTGCTCTGCCAGCTGGTGAAAATACCAGCGACATCGCGAACACATTAACCAAGAGCAGCATTAACGTAGCCACGGTGATTTCCACCACAAATGAAGACGTAGTGAAGAAAGCGCTCAGATTCACTTCATCTTAAGCAGAAATATATGTAATCCCGTGTATAATAGAGCGCAAGTATGTGTTCAATAAAGATGACCAAAACAAATCCTGTGTCAGTATTCTAATTCCACACTTGTCGTATTTGTATACCTGTCGATGACTGATGTAATTCTTTATCCTCCGTCTTCACTGTTATTTACCCATCTTCACTTTACTGGATGGTGATAATAAAATATATTATATTACACTGAGTAATATATATTACAGTATATTGAGTAATGGATGGCAATTCTAACTTTTCAAGGCTAGAGTGAATTGTTCTCAAATGAGAGTCTTATTTTCACCTCTCTCTCTCTCTCTCTCTTTTTTTTTTTTTTTTTTTTTTTTTTTTTTTTTTTTTTTTTTTTTACACAGGGTTTGACAGGTTAAGGATCCCTAGCTTTATTGACAGCTATTTACAGGTTAATGATTCCTAACTTTATTGGCAAGCTAAGAGCTGTTACCTACATCAGCTCATTTGAAAGCATTTTTATTGTTATGAGACATACAAGTAGGGAACAGGATGAAGTTGGAGCCATCTGTGGGCCAGCATTTTCATTTGATCAACTGACTTTATCTCGTTGACATCATTATGCTGTACGAATGTGTTCCATACTCGAGTCATCCTGGGTATATATGATCTCAGATGGAGTGATGTTCTCTCTCTCTCTCTCTCTCTCTCTCTCTCTCTCTCTCTCTCTCTCTCTCTCTCTCTCTCTCTCTCTCTCTCTCTCTCTCTATCTATCTATCTATCTATCTATCTATCTATCTATCTATCTATCTCTATCTCTCTTTCTTAATGCATCTCAGAGCAGAGGTACCCGCTAAAAGTCTTGAAAAGAAGGTGTACTGTACTGAGATATTTTGTGTACATGTCCCTCAAACATTTTCATCAATCATTGTCTCATTAACAGGGTCTCTCAGCATCACCTCTCAAGTGTCTCTTGACAACCCAGCTAATGAGTCAACCCCCAGAATTCTATCAGTACAGAAATCTGCCCACTGCTCATTCACCTTTCTCTTCCACTTTGCCTCCACCTCACTCCGTCTTTCTACCTCCACCCTCACTCCACCCTCCACCCTCACTCCAGGAAGATATTCCTGGTTAGTGTCTTCCAGCTTATGGACAGTTCAACACCACCAAAGTGCGGAATTTTAGTTTTAAACTTTACGATACATAAGTTTCAATTTCATGGAAAATCTGATACTTCCATCCACTGGTGGAACACAATATGTCTCTACATCACTATTGTATTATCCAAACTACGAGGAATAATTGAAATAAAAACCTTACACCTTTTTTTAAGTGTTCTTTATTCAATAAATCTTCACAGAAGATCCACAGAGTTAAAACATATAATAACATTATTCAAAAGACATAAACATCAGAGTTATCCCTGCGACTCCCCCGGTCAGTCTCATGTGAGGAGACGGATGCTGTTGCCACATCTTATTCTGAAGACATCGTTAGACATTCTTCAATTCACAGAACAATTTTTCTACCTATTGCTCAAACGCAAGAAAGGAAGAAATTAATTATAACATAAAAGATTAATTTATATAATGACATAGAGTTTTAAAATACGAGCTCTTCGTGTGACGTACTTAAAGGGGAGTCACTAGTTTGTATTAAAATTTAAAGGTTCTCCAAGCGAGGCTTGGAGACTTCAATGCCCAGATTAAAGGTACTAATCCAGACAAAACACCCGGTCTTGCCCATTTAAAGACATCATTGCACCAGGCCTTTCTCACCCATTAAAGACTTCGATACGTACTCAGTCATGATTCATTCTACCTCAAATTACTTCATCTATTTGATTCGAAACCCTTAATGAACTGATCAGTCTTTGTGAAAAGTGAGGTAGTAATTAATTTCCATCGCTTTGTGTTGTACCATTTTCAAAATACACAGATGATATTGATGATTAAATAATTTATATTTTTCATTTCATAATACACTAGATTATCAAACTTCCACAGTTCTTATTTGTTTCCAAAATATATTACATTAATAAAAGGACACAGTATTTCCAGTTCTTATTCACTTTCCATATGGATTATCATGATAATAGACATTCATTTTGCAGGCAATTTTTTAGTATTCGATATTTCTCTTCCATGTTTTCCCCTCTTTTCTCAGATGTTTTGCACATTCACGAAATGGCTGGTTATTTTTATCATCATTGAATTTGCTCATATCACTTATTAATCCCAATGAGTCTGTGGAATGCTACTTGTGACTGGTCTCCTACTCAGATTTCACTCCATTTATGCCCTAGACTCTCTGCTTCCTATTGGTAATCCATGTCTCGATCCATGACAGGACTTTTCCCCCAGTGCCATGGACTACCACTTTATTTAAGTCTTTTTGTGTGATACTCTACCATAAGACTATGGAGTTGAACTCTTCCCCAACAACTCTGTCCTCAGGGTTAATATATCACATTATCTTCACCTCGCCGCTGCTGATGCTGTCTCCAATTGATTGTCTTCTGTACTTGACTGAAGAAGCGTAATATATAGACGAAGCGTTTCAGCAGGAAAGATATTCACTGTTCCTTATGTGTCTTACCCATTCTGTGACGGAGATGACTGTAAACTGTGCCAATCAGTACACAAAAAAGGAAATCAAAGTAATCAACGAAGTTTTCACTTTAGTCAATGCCGTAAACCAACCAACTTTTCATAGATTGAAAAGACCCGGTAGGCCTCTTTCGGTGCTCCTATTTTAAAATTCACCCATACAGTGGGTGGATGCGTTTGCATAAATTTTCTCGTTCATGAAGATGACACTGTTGCATAGGCGAAACGTCTCATTACGGTTCCTCTCTGCAAGTGTCTTTTTCACCAGCGTTCAATTAAATTTAAATCATAATCACGTACATAAATATTAATTGACATGCAGACAAAACGTGACCGAAACGAATAACAAATAACGCTAGTATTTAGGATCTACGTATAGCTATATGACTCTCTTTGGCCGCAATATTAAGACTACTCGAGATACACTTATATTCCGACACTTTCCTTGGCAGAAATTAACATTCGTATTTCATGATGTTGGTGAGGAGGGAATGCCATGGATCCTCACCATCATAAATCTTAGTCTTCTGTATAACATAAAAGTTTCTCTTCTAATCTTGGGTATTCCCATGCCAGTGTAGTCTTCCATACCTTGTTCCTTGGCTAGTGTTTTCCTCTCCACTTTCTGTTGGATTCCAGGAATCATATATATATTAAGACATTGGAAACTCAAAGTACTCGTCTGCCTCAACTGAAACACTGCAGTTCTATAAGGTTATTACTAAATGGTTATAATTACGACCATAAGTTTTAATGGGATGGACCGGTAAGTCAATGGAAGGCCTCAGTCAGTTGACCAAAAGCTCCAACGGCGGGTCATCATCTAAGACCCGCTTCAGGAAACACTTGTGCTGTTTCCTGACGTACCTTACCTAACCTATAAGGTGATTGTCTCTTTCCTTATAAAGTCACAGCCTATAAATATATTTTTTTATTTTAACCCTCTTAAATGCACTTTAAAATCAAAGGACTAAGCAAACTCATCGAACACTTCATGAATACTTTTAACACTCGCGCCGTCTCTCTCTGTCTTCATAAATGGATGCCAGCATCACAGTTCACATGACCCTCCGAACCACAACATTCTCGCCCCTCCTTCAGACTGCAGGCACTATACTTCTCACCATAAATTTGATTTTACTCACACTCCAACAGCACGCCAAATCATGAAACCACTTGCTTCCACTCACTCCTAACACTCTCATACAAACCTGTTGAATGTATAAGCCCCTAATACTCAAAACCCCTTTACCCTCTCTCTCGAACCTTTCCTAGGACTATCCATACCCCTCCTTCCCCCCACCCTAAACATATAGCCCCTCCTAGTCATCCTATTTTGCTCTATTCTCTCCAGATGTTCAAACCACCTCATCACGCCCTCCTCAGCCCTCTAATACTTTTGGTAACTCCACACCTCATAATATCCAAATCATAAATTCTCTGCAGTAAATTCGCACCACATATTCCCTTCAGACACAACATCTCTACTGCCTCCTGTCTCAACTTCGCTGTAACTGTGAAAACATACGCTTCACACCTAAACATCAGTGTTGGTACCACTGTATTTTAGTATATTCCCCATTTTTGCCTCCGATAAAGGTCTTTGTTTCCACAGATGACTCAATGCACTACCCATCCTTTTCCCTTCATCAGTTCTGCGGTTCACTTTGTTTCTCATAGAATCATCCACCGACAAGTCCACTCCCAAATATCTGAACACTTTCTCCTTCCAATCTGATATCCAGTCTCTTATCGCCTATATATATTTTTTGTAGTCCCATCACGTTGTTCCTTCCTATGTTCACTTTTAATTTTGCATACTCTCCCAAATTCGTTCACCAACCTTTGTAACTTCAGAATCTTCCAAAAGAACCGTGCCATCTGCAAAGAGCAACTGTGACAACTCCCACTTCATACCAGATTATCTTTCAATCCTACAACTCTCCCCAGTACTCTATCATTCACCTCTATGACAAACACATCTTTAAATATGTTAACAACAATTGTAACATCACATTCCTCTTTAAGAACTACTTTTATTGGAAAATAATCTCCCTCTCTCCTACATACCTTAACATGTGCCTCGCTATCCACATATAAGCTATTTACTAGATTAAGTAACCTACCACCAATTCCATACATTTACAACATCTACCACGTTCCGTGGTTCCGTGACTGGACGCAAGAATATCCATCAAGATGTGGTAGATACAGCAGAACATACAGTCGCAAAAAAGCTGCCCCACCCCCAATAAGCCAGTTTGACAAGTTGGTGACTGAGCCAGGCAGCAGTAACAGCACCAAACCTTCTGCAACGAAAACTGCTGGGCACGTTGGCAAATGGGGAATTACGTCATTTACATCATTTACCACGTTGCTCCTCAGTCCATACAATCACGTCATCTAAAATCATAAATGCAATGAAAAGTTCTTTACTGTATCTAAGTATAATCACTTATATGCTGCAGTGTAAATTCTGCTGTGGAAAAGCGACTTTTTGGCTATGGGTAACAATACACACGGTTCCTCACTCACGTCCTCAGTATGTGACTATGTTGACCCTCGGCTCTTTTATATACTACATTTATTAAGGTATGGACAGGTGAAATAGTGAACACAACAAATGATGTGTAAATATACTACAACAAAAGGTTTTGTTGAGGTACATTTACATATTATTGCTCCAGCTTCCCACCCACTCAGTGTGCATCCACCCACTTATCCAGTCTTCATTCCTCTATTAAATTATATTAAGTAACCATCCACCAATCCATCCTTGCATCTGTCATCGATATACTCTTCATCCATCAGGTCATTATTCATTTAGTTACCCATCCGTTTCTCTTGTAACAGCGATCCACTGCCCGGACATCGCCAGCATGAATAAGTCAGACGAGCTGACGTCTCTGCGATACGACCCGGCCGACAACACACGGATGAGCACAGTCGTCAACTTCTCGTGCACCCCGGGATCGTCCCTTGTCGGGGCGCAACAAATAAAGTGTCTCCCGTCAGGCAACTGGTCAGCGCCCATACCCCGTTGTGAGAGTAAGTCTTTTCATTTATTCATAAACACACACACACACACACACTCACATGATAACGACATATTAAATACTGCGAGCAATTGACATAATGGACAAAGACAGATGTTCGAAAGCTGGGACACAGAAACAAGAGGTTATAATTGGAAGTTGAAGACTTTGATGAGTCAAAGGGATGTTAGGAAGTATTTCTTCAGTCATAGAGTTGTCAGGAAGTGGAATAGCCTAGAAAGTGATGTAGTGGAGGCGTGAACCATACATAGTTTTAAGACGAGGTTTGATAAAGCTCATGGGGCAGGGAGAGAGAGGACCCAGTAGTAACCGGGGAAGAGGCGGGGCCAGGAGCTATGAATCGACCCCCTGCAACCACAAATAGGTGAGTACACACACACACACACACACGCACACACACACGCACACACACACACACACACACACACGCGCACACACACACACACACACACGCACACACACACACACACACGCACCACACACACACACACACACACACACACACACACACACACACACACACACACACACACACACACACACACACACACACACACACACGCACACACACACACGCACACACACACACACACACACACACACACGCACACACACACACACACACACGCACACACACACACACACACACACACACACACACACACACACACACACACACACACACACACACACACACATAAACACTATAACACACTCAATAAGCCCACCCCAAAGCAAAAAATGCCAGGACGAAAAGCAAGGGTATAGGGGATGGCTAGGAGTATAAGGAAGCATGGGCAGAAAGGATTAAGAGCAAACTGGAAGGACAGGGGGATGAAAAAAGAGAGTTTTTCAACTCAGTGGAGAAGATATCTACAGAGATCAAGAAGTGGGAGTTATGAGCTGTTGCTGCTGAGACAAAGGTGCAGAGTCTGGTGGATGAACTGGAAGTGCTGATTCAGATTGTAGAGGTGAGGACCGATAGGTGCAAAGTGCAGAACATCAGCAGACAGTGAGGGGTCTGGAGAGGAAGGCAAAAATAATCCCCTTGAGGAAATGATATAAGGCCACTCGAAGTCTGAGAGATGATAAGGGAAATAACCAAGAAGACATTAAAATCAGACCCAGAATTATGGGGGGAAACATAATGGGAAGAGGTCACTTGTTATTCATGGGCTGCATGAGGCAGAAGGGAAGACCTATGACGAAAGAAGACAAGGGAAGGTAAAAGAGATTGAGAGCAATATTGCAGTAACAGGACAGGATATGATCCGACTTTCAAATTTTCAGATTTGGGTGGTACTCAATGAAAACGAACTGCCCAATGAAATTGGCATTTAAGACAGAAATGGTGCAAAACAAGATCCTGCAGAGAAAACCACAGTTAAAGGATTCGCCAAAATACCAGGAAGTGTACCTAGACTGCAACAGAACACAAAAAGAATGGGAACAACTGAGAGAGAGAGAGAGAGAGAGTAAGGTGCCAGAGGCAGGAAGACAGAACAAGTACTCACAGACAGTGGAGTGCAGCCTTATTGGAAACAACAAGTACAACCACCCATAGAATCACCCACAGCATCCCCTCAACCCTTACCAACCCACACCAACCAAACACAATAACCAGAAACATACCACACTCCACACCCACACTCCCCCCTCCCATCTCGTAGAGCACTAATACCACCACAACACCAGCCCACCATAACATTCAACCCTGTCTACCACACTTTCAGCCTGCACCAACGCCTCTGTTCCCCCCTCCCGAATACAGTTCTGGAGAGGAAGCTGTATGTATGGTATACCAACAAAAATGGACTAACAGATAAGACTGAGGAGTGGCAGGAAAGAATCATTGAGGCATCCCCGAACATCATAGCACTCACAGAGACATAGCTCACAGATGTGATCACAGATGTGATCTTCCTGTCTGGATATCAGATCCCGAGGAAAGACCGGGTGAACAGAAGTAAAGAAGAAGTAGCACTGTTCATCAAAAATTAATGGTGTTTTGAAGAGACGGCAGGACTTGTCAGAGGTGAAGCAGATGACTACATAGTATGAACACTTCTAACCGGGGGTTCAGAAGTGATGATGGCAATGATGCACAACCCACCACAGAACAGCAGAAGACCGAAACAAAAATGTGATGAGAGTCACAGGATGAATGATGGTGGCCCCACTAGGTGAGGTGGCCAGAAGGGTCCACAAAGCAGAGCAAAGCTACACATCATCGGAGATTTCAGCCACAAGGAGATAGACTGGGAAAATCTGGAGCTGCATGGGGAACCGGGACATGGAGAGCCAAGATGCTAGAGGTGGTGCTAGAAAGCTTCATGTACTAGCATGTTAGGGACACAGCCAGAGAAAGAGGAGATGATGAACCAGCAAGGCTGGACTTTGTATTCACCTTCAACAGTTCAGATATAGGGAAAATCACACACGAACACCCCTCGGTTTTAGCAATCACGTGGTACTGAGTTTCGAATACATAACAGAGTTAGCAATAAAGAGTGAGTCAGCACGAGAAGGATGGGAAAATCAAACTTCAAAAAAAGGAAGTACACATGTATGAGGCAATTCCTGCATGCAGTGGGTAAGATCTAGAGGGGAAGACAGTAAAGGAAATGATGGAACATGTGACCCCAAAGTTCAGGGAGACTGAAGAGAAGTTCGTGCCAAGGGACAACAGAAACAGTGAGAAGGCCAGAGCAAGCCAATCGTTTACCTGGAGGTGTGGAGAGGCCAAAGCCAAGTGTGCTAGATTAAGGAAAACGTATATAAGGCAAAGGACTCAGGAAAACAGGGAGCTGAGGCGAAGAGCCAGAAATGAATATGTATGGATAAGGAGAGAGGGCCAGAGGTAATAAGAGAATTATATAACGTCAAAAGCCAGATCTAAACCAAAGTTGTTATACAGCCACATCAGGAGGAAAACAACAGTCAAGGACCTGGTAATCAGGCTGAGGAAGGAAGGAGGGGAACTCACAGGGAGCGATCAGTAAGTAAGAAACTCAGATCAGCAAACCGAGGGAGCAAGGTGCACCAGCAAGTGCTGGACACACTGCACACAACTGAGAAGAAGGTGAAGAAATTGCTAGATAAACTGGATACCTTGCAGGCAGTGGGCCCAGTTAACATCTCTCCCTGGGTCCTGAGAGAGGGAGCAGATGCACTATGTGTGCCACTTACAATAATTTTCAATAAATCTATTGAAACTGGGCAACTGCCTGATGTGTGGAAGACAGCAAACGTAGTACCGATTTTTAAGAATGAGACAGACAGGCAGCACTAAACTACAGACCAGTGTTACTGACATTTGTAATATGTAACCTTATGGAGAAGATTATCAGAAGAGTGGTGGAACACCTAGAAAGGAATGTGCTCATACATGACAACCAGCATAGCTTCAGGGGAAGGTAAATTCTGCATCACAAACCTACTGTAGTTCTACGAGAGGGTAACAGAGGTAAGACGGGAAAGAGAGGGATAGGTTGACTGCATCTTCTTCTACTGTAAGAATGCTTTCGATATAGTTCCATACAAGAGACTGGTTGAAAAGCTAGAGGAACAAACAGGAATAGTAGGGAAAGTACTGCAATGGGTCAAGGAATACCTGACAGGAAGGAAACAACGTGTGCTGGTACGTTACGAATGTGTCAGAGTGGGTGCATGTGTCGAGTGGGGTTCTACAAAGGTCAGTCCTGGGTCCGGTGCTGTTTCTAGTATATGTGAATGACATGATAGAAGGGATAGATTCAAAGGTGTCCCTATTTGTAGACGATGTGAAGCTAATGAGAAGAATACAAGTAGATGAGCATCAGGTAAGCCTACAAGGAGACGCGGACAGGCTGCAAAGCTGGTTCGACAAATGGTTCCTGGAGTTTAATCCAAGCAAGTGCAAAGTCATGAAGATTGGGAAGGTCAAGAAAGACTGCAGACGGAGTGCACCCTAGGAGGTTAAAGGCTGCAAAACTTACTCAAAGGAAAGGATCATGAGGTGAGTATAATACCAAACATTATATCCCCTGAGGCACACATCAACCAAATAACTACTGCAGCATATGGGCTCCTAGCATACCTAAGAATAACGTTTCGACACCTTAGCAAGGAATCGTTCAAGACTCTGTACGCCTTACCCGTCAGGCCCATATTAGAGTATGCAGCATCAGTATGGTACCCACATCGGGTCAAGCACGTCAAGAAATTAAAGACAGTAAAATGATTTACAACAAAACTAGTCCCAGAGCTAAGGGGTATGTCCTACGAGGAGAGGTTAAGGGAAATCGACCTGACGAAACTGAAGCACAGGAAAAATAAGGATGACATGATAGCGACATATAAAATATTGAGAGGAATTGATGAGGTGGTTAGGGACAGAATGTATCAGAGATCTGACACAGCAATAAGGGTTTCAACTGGAAGTTGAAAACTCAAATGAGTCACAGAGTTGCTAGAGAGTATTTCTTCAGTCATAGAGTTGTCAGGAAGTGGAATAATCTGGAGAGTGATGTAGTGGAGGCAGGATCCATACATACCTTTAAGAAGAGGTATGATAAAGCTCATGGAGAATGGAGAGAGAGGACCTAGTAACGACCAGCAAAGAGGCGGGCCAGGAGCTATGAATCGACCCCTGCAACCACAATTAGGTGAGTACACACTATAGACAAGTGACGTTGACAACCAGTAATAACTTTATCATCTCAGACAAATAAAGTTATGAAATATTTGGCATTTCTTGGTTATTTAATATCTATTCAATAATAATCATTCCTTCATATATTGATCATAGTCATAATAATTTTATAAATAAAAATATAGAGAAAGTTTTGGAATCGGTATCAGAAAAAAATTTTGGTGTCGTCCCTTCCCTAATATATGTACATGTCGTGCCGAAAAGGTAAAAACTTGTGACTTTGGCTTAAATAGCAACGCTCTTCTTGCCGAATAAGACAAGCTAAAATTTGTGTATGTAATAATTTAGCAAAAATCATT